AAAAAAAAATACACATTGAATGTGATCCGGAATTTTACCTTAATGATACATTACATAAATTACCTAAACGTGGTGTCAAACTTGATTATATTGAGCAGATAATTGATAATTTACAAACTGAAAAAGATGTTGAAAAAAATAATCAATCAGATTACATTTATTCTGATTTACAAAGATCACTTTCAAAAAAAGAAGGAAAACAAAAAGTTATATTTGATGATCTACATGTTGATGAAAGGCCAGCTGACAGAGATGTTCAACAAATGGTTATGGAAGGTTCTCCGACTTTCCAAGTAATAAATGAAAGTGGTGTGACATTTGATGAATCAATAAGCCCTAAAAGGACGCGTGAAGGAAATGAATTAAAGGATTCAATTTCTTTCCTTGTACATGATAATACAAATAAAGAATCTTTAGATCAACCTCGTGTAAAAAGAACACGTCAATACGAAGAAACCAAAATAGATGAATCTTGTGATAATGCAACCAAGGAAAGATTTAACCCGAAAAATCTGTCGGACCAATCACATTATACTAATCGCGTTGTTGATATGAGAAGCAATTCAGAGAAACCTAATTCTGAATTAACTTTTCCCGATGAAATATTTGAGATTGAAGAAAGATTAGAACAAAATGAGGAGATTTACAAAGAAAACCCATTACGTCTATTAATGGAAGTTGCGTTGGTTGATTTGGTATGTCTTCTTATTTTTCTTTAGTCATTTAAAATGTTTTCGTACTTATGTTCGTTTATTCTAGCGATGAAGATGAAATATAGTCGAATGTGTTAGGTATTTATATCCATAAATTTATTCAGGTCGCGGATTATAAATAAGGGACATTATAGTTTGTGATAGGTAAAAATGTACAATGTGTACGTGAAAAATCAAAAAAAAAAATCAAAAAAAAAATTATTGATATCTGATATCTTTGCCAACAAGATAAGCATTATATTGTGTTAATAAGCACATTATTCTTTCTTGGCTGGCTTCAAAATGTGCATGAATTGTTAAATGCTTTGTTTCAATCAAAATACATTTACCAAAAATTTAAATTTGAAAGGAGCATATATAATATTTTTCTTAACATTGTTTTAAAGGCAATGTTTAGAATAAATCATATTTGGGAAATTTTCTAGGTATATGAATTTCTTTTTTATTAGTTATTTTTCTTTTTCATTGATAAATCTTGATCTTTTAACTGTCTATAATAAAAACAAAAAAAAAAAAAAAATCTTTCTAATTGTAAGAATTTTCAATTTTTCATTAAGACGAATATTTTCAAAAAAGTTCAAATCCCTTTAGGAATTATATGGTGATCTTATTGAATGTCAAAATAATGACTCAAATGTGCGAAAAATCATTATATTTCGGTAAGATCGTAGAAGAATTAGTAATATAGAGTACATTCAGAAAACATACTAGATCACGTGTTTAGTATCGTTGTAAAGTTATTTAATTGATCTTCAAATTTTACTAATCAAAATATATAGATTAAAAGATTAAAAAAAAAAAAACTATTTACATAACGATAAGGCCATACAAACTTAATAAATCGGTTTTCATAACATAATATTTTCTAAAATGACCCGGCAACCCGGCTTTTAATTTTATTTTCAAAAAATTTTATATATAAAAAACATAAAAAAACTCACCCGGATAGTAAGTATACTTGAAATTTTTTTTTTAGAGTTTTGTAAATTTTGACCCGGCCGGGTTATGAAAACCGATTAATTAAATTTGTATGGCCTAACTGATAAGATTTTTTTAAAAATTTCATATAGGTTTTTTTTTTATTTTTATGATAATACCGTATATTACCGTCAAAAAAATTATATTTGCATTAGTACAATAGTAAATATATATATAATTAGGTTTTTTTTTCTTTTTTAGATAATTTTGCTTGTCATTTTATTAAGAAAAAGCTTATATGAGCTATAAAGCAAATTTATATATACTATATTAAAATGTTTTTTTTTTTTTATAATTTTAAACTTAGCTATTTTTAGATACTTAAATATAATTTGTTATAGTAATTATTTTTTTACAAAAACTTTAATTTATATATACAGATTTTTAGCTTTTGATTATTAAAGCAATAATAATTTTTTATTAATATAAATTTTATTTTTATTTATTTATTTTTTTTTGTTTTTTTTTTTTTATTTTTATTTTATTTATTTTATTTTTTTTATGAATTTATTTAAAAGTAAACAGAAATAAAATTTACTTTTTTTTTTTTTTAAATTTGGCAGCTATGCCTCAACTTTATTCAGACAGTTTGCGAAGCAAACTTTTTATATTCAAATTTATATTCTCGTATATCTGACTACTAAGTTGAAACTCACCTGGTTACCCAAATGATACCTATGTGCAGCATGCTATAGTTAGTCTTTTAAATCTATACCATCAGATTTAGTTACCTAAACCCTCCTGTACTTCAGATGGTCCTAACAACCCAAAAAAAAAAAAAAAATTGTTACATATAATGAAACGTAGCTAATTATATAAACTAAACTTATAAGAGAAAAATCTGCTACCAGATTAAAAAACTCTTATAAGTAAAAACAGTAAGAAAAAAAAGAAAACAAACACTCTAATTAACATAAAGAAAAAAAGAGTGTAACAAAATATAAAAATATTATGCTATGCAAAAACAAGAATATATATCTCTAGCAATAAACTTTTCTAGAAGTTAAATCCTAATTAGATCATCCACATGATAGTGATGTACATGTTTGTTGTCTTGTCTAAGTTGCATATCAACAAATGACTTGTCAAATTAGGAAGTAGTACAAACTTGCAGATCCTTTGTCAGAGGTTCACCAAATTCTCTACTTTTTTATTTTTCAGTATAAAGAAATCTAAAGGTTCAGAAGGAGACGATAGTAGTACTAAAAAGATTTAAAGGAGTATATATTTTCCAAAATCTACTATCTACTTATATTCATCTAGAGTGTAACTAGTACTTATCTTCTGTGAGTAAGTGATAAACTCTAAGCTTGTTAGCAAGTAACATATGAGAACTACTTTTAAACGACAAGTACTACTATGATATTGCAGTGAGTGATAAACTCTAAACCTGTTAGCAGATAGTATATGAGAACTATTTCTAAATAATAGGTGCTGTCAAAATACAACTCTTTCTATCGATCTTCTAACCACTTTTTTTATAAAAATCTGACCTGCGAAAAATCTTCACTGCTATAACAGATAATAATATTCTTTTTCTTAGGCTTTCTACGATGTATCGTAGGTGAATAACTCCTTTGTATAAGCTCTTTTTAGCTACATTATCTAGATATAACTTCTAAACACTATAGAAAAGTAGTAGATACAAGAAAAATTGGGTTTTATATCAGAATCTTGACACACAAAATCCCAACACACAAAATACTGACAACAAAATCCTGATATTCAAAATCCTAACAAATTAAAATCTAAACAAATCAAAATCTTGACATTCAAAATCTTGACAAGATCAAAATCCTGACAAAGTTAGCCAGAATTAGTTTTAAAGTTGGTTGGTTTTTTCAGGATTTTGATTCTGTCAAGATTTTGAATGTCAGGATTTTGATTTGTCTAGATTTTAATTTGTTAGG